GTTGCGGTTGTCATCATAATGAACTGATTGTTCCTCTCCGCCAGAGAATTGTTTTGAGGATGATTCGGTAGAGAGTGATCGAATGGGATCTTCAGCTGTTTCATAGCCGTCTCAAACCCTGGGGCTTTGTCGGCATAAGCAATCTTGATCTTCTTCAATCCCTTGAAGTGGTTTATTGCATTGATCACGTCCTTGGTATACTTCTCTTTCGACGGATAGGCCCATATGACGCCTGTGTACCTGTCACGAATGACGAAGATCTCTCGATCAGTACTGATCCCTTGGTCAAGGATGTTCCTTGTATCGACAAAATCAAAGGTAACCAGGTCTCCAAAAGCTTTGAGCTTTCTCTTGAACGCTCCCCGATGCGTCTTGAAGTGTTTCATCTTTGCTCTGATGCATGACTCACAGTAGGGATTCTTGTAACGATGTGTGAGTAGATGCTCGATTTTCCTGGCATCTGCTTTCAGAGTTCCTCTTCTCACCATTCTACTTGCACCGTCAACAACATCCACCTCGATGTCATCTGCATCGTCATCGTCAGCTTCTGGTTCACTGTCTCCGGCGACATCCGATCCTACCTCATCTTCTTCTCCAGGAGATGCCTTGAACTTCTTATTCCTCTTTCGCCTTTTGACTTTTGGAGGTTCAATCACAGGAAGGTCGTCATTATCACACATGATTCCTTGAGGATCCACATCACAGTTGATGAAAGTCGATTGGTAATCGGCTTCATCTTCTCCTAGGGTGAACCTTGCGATCATCTCCGCCCTTGTATCGTTGGTGGGAGTACAGAAGTCACTGCCCTTGACAATATATGGGATGTTTCCCTCTACTTCTAACATGATTTTCTTGTAGTTCGGGGAAATCATGTACGGGTTGCCGCAGGCTGGCCATATGAATGTGTATCCTTCCTCCATGCATTTCTTTCCAACAGACAGTACTGAAGGAGATTCATCTAGGACGAATGGGGAGTAGGTAGAGTCAAATTCGTCGAAATGAATGTCGGCGACCCCTTTTGTGGATGTCACTCCATTTGCGGTATAGAATGACATTGATTGGTCGCTTTCTCTCACTTCCAGACCTAGTTTCTTGGCTCTGCCTTTCGATATCAAATCATATCCACATCCTGTGTCCATGATGAACTTCGTTCTTGACCCTTTGGCTGGAATAGACAACGTCTTTGTGTCTGCATGATCATTCTTTCCCTCGCATACATGAGGAATGACTTTATGATGGAAAACTAGGCCGTCATCTTCGTCAAAAGACATAGTGACCGATAGGTCACCCTTTGGTCCAACTGGTATTCGGATCCTCTTGATCTCAGTGTAGGGGACCATCAATATGCCTCTTGCCTCTGCGACCTTTTCTTCAAATCTGATTTGTTCTTTCCTCGTGTAGCAGGTGAGCTCTTTCTCATCATATCGTTTGATGTCCGGACGTAGAGGTTTCTTTTCTACTACCTTCCATTTGTCCCTGACTGAGTAGATCGCTTCGTTCAACATGATCTCACAAGTCTCTTCATCAAAGGATACTTTTGTACCTCCTTCTCTTGCCTTGGCGGATGCAGCAATCCCTTCATCTTCGGATTCGTCCATGAAGAGTTCACCGCCAATGGCTGGGGCTCCAGGCTTCGCCTTAGGTTTCGGTTTGGGTTTTGCCTTGGGCTTTGGCCTATCGTCTCCTGAGTCAGCTGGTGCAGATATCCCTTTCTTAGGAGAGGCTTTTGGGTCATGGTAGAACTTGCAATCCTTCCCTTTATCACAAGTTCCGCGAATCCACATCCAACATACCGGCTTGTCATTCTTTCCGACAGAAGGTCCTCTGGATGGTGATCTGGGTTTCTTGTGACTGAATGGGCAATCTTTCCCCATAGTGCAGTTACCTTTCACGAAGAATTTGCACGGTATCTTCTTTTTGTCTGTACTCGGACTTCGGCTGCGATCCTTTCCATCACCTTTACCTTTCCCCTTTCCCTTTTTGTTCTTGTCTTCAGGATGCTTCTTGGGATTGGGTTTCGGCTTCACTGCAGCAGCGTCTTCTGGGACAACCTGTTCTTGTTGCCCTTTTGGTTTCTTCTTCGGATCAGCTGGTGCAGCTTTCAGTTTTGGAGCAGGTCCGCCTGGTTTGAGATTCTGAAAGATATTGGCCACATTCTTCACTGCTTTCTCCTTTTCCAGGATCATTCTGTCTTCAGTTTGCCGTTCGATGTGCCTTCTGATCATATCACGTAGATGTTTGTATGTCTTCTTGGCATCATCGTCGTTCATGCTGTTGTAGGCGCTGATGTCGTATGCCATGAGGTTTGAGTTCCTGATCTTTCTCCATAGGAGATCCCGAAGAGTTTCGTCGCTCGGGACGTCAACGGGTTTCATTCCTGCCAGAATCTCATCCCAAGTGTGGAAGAACAACGATAAGTTCTTGTCTCCTTGATATTCTAGTTGGTAGAGGTGCATTGACGTATATAAGACTTCCACATTTGATGTTGTCTTGAAGTTCATAAGGATCAGGGCTAGGACCTCTCTTCCCTTTATAAGGCTTGATGTTCTTCCTTTTGCATTGATCCTCGTCCTCAACTTCATAGCTACACCTGAACCATCATCTTTCGCATCCATGACGACCTTGGTAAGAGCTAGGCCGAGTTTAGCATCGATTGAATGGAATCTTTGGTCTCCTGAGTCGACAAACTTGTCCGGATCAGGATCGTCCATGGCTTCTTTGATCCAGTCGATCCAGGGCTCTTGATCTGAATCATTGGCCGCAATGATGATTGATTGAATGAGATTTGCCTTCCACAATCCAATATCATTGATCCTGGGCCATGACGGAACGTTTATCTTTGATTCTTCCTTCCTCGATACCTTCATGACAGTAGAGGTTGCCGGTGCAAGATGAGATGAAGAGGATGCCTCTGTTTCTGAAATCTTATCCCTCAATGATTTGTTCGCCTCGGACAGCTCAATTGATTTCTCCCTTTCCTCGGCGTACTCATTGTGGGTTTCGGCATACCATTCATACATCTCATCTCGGCTCTCTGTCATTTCATTGTACCCGTCCTTGTAGTATTTCGCCTCCTCTTTTGCGTTCCGAACCTCATCTTCCTCGGACGCGTGGGTTGGTAACCCGCGGTCTCTGGAACTAGGACGCTTGCTGTACCGAGAGACTATGGGTGCCATTCGTGCTTCTGCTTTTAATTTCGCATTTTCCATAATGACATTCTTTGTCTCCTTCTGGCTTTCCAATAGTGCATCCTCCAGTTCTCTGATCTTCTGTTGAATTTCAGCACCATCATCGCCAAACATAGGAGCTCTCATCATATTCTCTCTTTTCAGCTGTGCGTTGGCTTCGGATAGAGCGAGGTTGACGTCTTTCAATTGTTGTCGTTCACGGATGGAACCTTCTAGGACTTCGTTGTTGAATATTTCTCCTTTTGCGATAACCTCTTTTGCGACGTTTGCTTCGTATTCGTGGTGGCTCGCCCTCGCATCTGCCATTTCTTTAGCAGAGACTTCAGTCTGGCATATAAACATCTCCATCCTCATGCCCACTTCCATCTCTCCCATCTCCGCTTTAGCGTTGAGTTCAGCTCCACGTGCCATAGCTAGTTGACCTCGTAGATGATCAATAACCATAGCTTCCTGATTGCTCTGATCTTGAGATGAGTGAACACTGTGTTGAAGACGTTTTTCCCTGACCTCACTGTTCCATTGTTCTTCTCTCTGGTGTTGGATCACCTCATGCATGTTGACATTCTCATCCTGTAGCGCAATCATTCTAGCTTGTATCTGGTCAGCTATTCCAACGAAGGCTGTGTTCTCATCCTGAATGGCTTTTGATCTTCTATTGATCACCAATGAAGATTCATTCTGGTCTTGGATGTGTCCAATTGCTGCTTGAAGCTCTTGGGACATTCTGTCCTTCGTTGCTTTCACAGATTCAAGCTCTGAATGTTCTTGATGAGTTTCTTGTGCAAGCTCTTGATATCTCATGTAGATATGTTCAGCTGTCGATTCCGCCAAGCGTAGCTTGTGTTCGAGCTCTTCAATTCTTATTGTCGCCCCCTCATCCTCCTGTGTCATCTCCTGTAGATGTTCCTGCATCTTCCTGTTATAGTCAGACATTTGCCTGAACTCCACTTCAGCCTCGTGGTGTAGTCGTGAGTATCCGGCTTGGATGCATTCATATTCTTGATGAAGAAAGTTGTATGCGTTCCTCGCCGATCTCAATTCTTCACCCAGCTGAATCTCTCTTCTTTGCTCTTTTGTTCCTCTATCATCGTCACGTCTCTTCTCTATACTCCTTCTTGGGGATCTCGCGGTAGACGTTATAGGCGATGTAGATCTTGTTGTAGCTCTCATTGACCTTCTTGGTCCTACGGGTGCAAGGTCGGTCAGATTCCGAGCCGGTGGCACGGATCTTTCCGATATTTGTGATCCAGTAGGCATAGTGATAACGTCAGCATTTGCTGATGAATCAGTACCCATTGTAGAGTCTGGTGACGAAATGGTGTTAGGACCACCAGGAGCAGCGAATGAATAGGGTTCGCTTCCATTTCCTCCTGAGCTTGACATTGCAGGTTTCTGTAATGACTAGTCTTGTTCTCGGTCTCGTGTAGCTCGTACGGCTACAAAGAGCGCGTACGGCTGATAACCTGCGAGTGGATCTTAATCAGCGAAGTTTGAAGCTATCACTGACGGTCCATAAGCGGCGTAGCGTCGGAACGGGAACCGCACCTTTTCTAGTCGCTTGATCCTTGAGCCAAAGTACATATGGTATATATATATGTACATGTTGCACTGTACATGTCGCTGCACTTCCATTCGCATATACTATGTTCAGGACATCTTCTTGCCCTTGCATGAATCTTGACAAACAGCTTGGTCTGCAGAATGTTTTCGAGCATGGAAGTGAATGTTGCTCACTTGGCATCAAAGTAGCAAGTAGGTAGTTCGCAGCATTTATGACACTGAGTCGGACTTCTCTTCAAAAGACCAAGGGACACAAATCAAACCAGCCAATAGCCCAAGGTTGTCCATCTCCTACCAAGGAGTGCTGAGGCATGGAAGACAATGATCGAGTGCTGACATTCAACACGCAAGTCTTTTGGTGCGTGTTCATTGTCAATGGAGTTTTATGGCAACTCCTCATATCCAGCCAGGCGAAACAGCTGCCAGCCAGCGCCATAGACTAGGGCTTCTCCCATACCACTAAGGCCTCCAAGACGTAAGACAGTGACAGGCCAAGTTCAGGAAATACTGTGCTTTTCAGGACAAGCTGCAAGCTGCAAGCTAAGGCGACCGCCTTTCACCAAGCACGAAAAGAAGGCAAGAATGGGCACAATCATCCTTGAGTTTTGGTCAATGCGAAAGGAATCTTGTATGCAAGGACAAACAAAAAAATCACAAATAGCACAACGGTGCAAAAGGCTAAACATTGGAAAATGATCTCCAGGAGACTGTGCAGATTACAAACATGAATTGTGCAGGTCATGCATGATCTGCACCTAGAATCATTTCTGGTCGCCCAAAGTCCATACAAACAACTGGCCATTGCTGTGACTCCATGACGCGGCCCACAAAGGCAAAAGTGATTGAGCCATTACTTTGGCGTGAGTGAACCTCAAATGGACCGTTGCTCATTTCCCGTGAAACTCCACGCAAACATAATATGTTTGCAGAATGCTTAAAAAAAATGTAACCTTACTGTAACATGTTCACACAGGTGCAACTGATTGGTGAACTGCTCAAATACCTCGCCTGCTTAGCCACTCCCTGGACCTCAGGCGCTCGATGCTTAACAGGCTGGCGATATGTTCCAGAAAGTTCTCGTGCAGCTTCATTGCTTCATTGCAGCACACCAGTGCAAAATTCATCCAAGTTGCACCCGCAGGTATGGTGATTGTCAGGAATCCTACGATGCACGTTCAACATCTTACCGTCCAAGTAGAACAAAAATGCGAAAGCGGTCGGGGCTAACCAAGTTGAGCTTTCTCGTTCAATTAACAAAGGGCTTTCTCGTTTGAAGTTTGATGTCTATCTGAATGGAAGGTCTTTGCTCTCAGACTTTATCTGGCCTCCATCTGGCCCGGCAAAACCAATAGTGCGGTCAATCGAGCTATCAGATGAGAATGTTGCTTTCAGCATCCACTGAGTTCCTTGGAGGAAGAAACATGTTCATGTTCCTGTCTTTTTCTTCAAAGCAGAGTGGAGGCCCTTGCAAGCACTACCTGTCTCAGTGCAACACCTATCTTCCATTCCTAGGAACCAGCACAGCGTTCATTCTGAGTCACAGCAACGCCATCTCAAAGTGATCACTGCACATAAGGTCATCACCTCATCCTTCTTCATGGCTTCCCGGAGCTTTTCCGTATCCCAAATCGCATCTAGTGGGTTTAGACCGTGCTCCTCTGGCAAGACATGTGCAGTTCAATGTGCAAAAAACACACCACATGAGCCAAAACAATAGATCTTTTGGAATCCTATTCTACAGTAGTTTCATCCTATGTTCTTCCAAACATGTTCGTGCGGTGTTAAGCAAAGGACCACAAAGAACAAGCACATTATCTCAAGAACAAACACATGCATCATGTCTCAAGAAAGACTAGTTCGTTGTTATCGCCCCCTTTCCTTGGCAATGTTGTAGCTTGTTTCAAGCGTAGACCTTGGCTCGGAAGGTGCAATCTTGTACCAGACAAGCTGACTAAGTCTACAAAGAAGTTGTGCAAAGGATTGGGGGCAAGAGGGAAACTGGAGAGTTTCGTTTGTTTGGGGTGAGAAGCAGGCAGCCTGCTGAGAGGATCCACGATGACTAATACACAAGACGCGAGAGGAGCACAGAAAGCACCCGAGACTAAAACGGAGACCAAGGAGAAGGCGGGAAATACATTTCCAGGTTAAGCAGTGACGAGTGATGAGACTGGAACGAAGGGAGCACAAGCCTTGCTCACAAAGAATGACAGGAGCAGAGGCAGCAACGCTAAAAATTGGTCGGTGACTTTGCTGCTGAAGGAATTGACAAGCCAAACAGCTCCGGCGGACAGCTGTCAAGATTTGGAGGATTGAATAGAACTACAGGAAGAGGCAAGTGAGGAGATGGAGTAGACATGGGTTAGATGATGAAGCAGGATACTCGTTTGTTGCATGTGTCTACCCAACTAAGGTCCGCCGCGCGTAGACAGCCGGATGGTTTCGGGACAATTTTTGTGTGTTGAAAAAGTTTTTTATTGAACTTACCTTGGGATTAGCACTTCTCTGGTTGTTTGGCTTTTTTGCGCAGTTGTTTGTCTCCAAAAAGCTAATTACTTTGGTTACGGTTACTCATGGTTGCATGTGCCGACACAACAAATCAATAAAAATATCTTCTGCAAAGGTCATGAGGTTTCATGCCTGAGCTTGATGCCAAGTTGTCCGTCTACGCCAGGGATTTCACAGACCCAGAGTTCACCACAAACTTGAAGTCGATGATAATGTTGTGAAATCGATTTACTCCCACCCCACCCACCCCATTTTAATCACACGACTCATCGATGACAGTGTTGTGATGTCGATGACAATGTTGTAGACATGAGCAAAAACAGAAAAGTGAATTGCAACAAATCTCCATTCTCTGAGGTTTCGCACGGATATCGATTCTCCAAGTCGTACGGGCATGGATTCTTTGTTTCGCGCTGCCGTCGCAGCGACCTGCTCATGATCAATATGCACGTGTTTGGTGAACATCACCAATCCTCTGTCTTGAGACATCAGCACCACTTTGGGAGTTCGGATATGAATCACTCCAGCCTCTTCACAACCTGCGATCAGGAGCGTAAGAGTAAGGCTTTAAGGTATATAATTGTAAAAAGAACGAAAGTCATTCCACCGGTGGCTCGATAGACATTAGAGGTTGTTCATGGCAGTGCAACCCGTCCTGTGCAGCATCAGCCTAAGATGTAATTACACGAAAGGAGGCACAGAGCCAAAGTGCGAGCCCAAGCGCGTGCTGCCAGACTCAAAAAAAGATCAAGGCGTGACGAAAAGGCAAACAAAATTCAGCAAACAAAACGATACTCGTTTGCCGAAGCACAAGAAGGGCTGAAAGGGCTATAAGGACTGCGAGCTTCATCATGACCTAGTCAGGTTGGGTGATGAAAACAAATCGCTGCAATTAAGCTCTGCTGGATTCATCCACCCATCAGCGCAGGTGTCGGCGTTTGCATTCTGCATACTGCTCGCATACTGGTGAGCCACTGGTGAGCATATCAAATTTGTTTGTTTCATAAGTGGAGCATAGCAAAACTTGAAGCAACAGCAACATTTAAAGGCACTGCATCCTTGCCAAGAGGCGGAAGGCGCTTTACCTGAGGACTTTACAAGCTAAACTCAGCAACTCAATCCACAATCACGAGCCGGTCAGCTTCAAAGACTACTCTCGCCACAATGCAACCAGGTCACGGCGACAGAATCCCCAGGTGGGAATCTCTGGGCCGTAAGCGTCTGAGGTCCACGGCTGCAAAGGTCAAGGTTCAAGAGATCTCCAACCTAATAGGAATGGCCTCCAACCTACTAGCGATGGCCTCCAACCTAAGAGCAACCTCCAACCTAAGAGCGATGTAGCGATGGCCTCCAACCTAAGAGCGATGGCCTCCAGCAAGGTCATTGTGAGTTTGTTTGAGCAACCTTGCAATGGAAAACACATGTTTCAAACACGGTCTGTATGTATCCTTCATTGCAGGTGTGTACATGAACATAGATATTATGTAACAATGTAATGTGTATATATATATATATATGCGCGGGGATGTAGGACATGCCACTCTGGAACCTAGATGTAGGACATGCCCCTCTGGAACCTACATTGAAGTCATTGAAGCATACCCCTAGATAATCGGCCTTCCCGTCATGATAACCTCAATGTAAATAGTGCAAAAGCATGCAAAAGCACTCAAAAAACGGACTTGCTCAGGTCGGGGGGAGAGACGGCCCCCAAGCCGAGGTCTGCATTGCTTTCAGCAAGGGTGACAGTTACAGTGACTGTGAGGGAAAACCGCGGCCAAGCAGGGGACAAGGCCAGACAAGGTGGAGGAGAAAAGGCCGGGGCATGACAATGCCTGGACAAGGCCAGACAAGGCAGAGAAAACAGTGCCCAGCGCACGGCCAAGCATGGACACAAAGACCCGGACAAGGCTTGGACAGCATACCCACTCAACAAGCAATCGTGCACTGCAAGTGAGTCTTGCAGCGAGCAAATTGATGTTCCTTTTTTTGAAAACGCTTGTCCAACTTTTGCTTCCACTTTCAAAATTTTACAACTATTTGTTGGTTTTGTTGTCGTATATGTTGTTTTTTTTCTGAGCAAAAACCAACACACAAAACAGAAAATCCAGATTTATAAACACATTTTGACGCATGTGTTTGCACGTTTCAGCCACTTCAACACCAGCAGATCCATACCCCAGACTCCCGGATCTGTAGACCCCGGCTACTTGACAAGTCAACTCCGGATCCCCCCCCTACATACCCGGGCACACCCCAGAAGGGAAACCGCACTTCACGAATCGTGCAGCGCATTGCAACAGCAATGGCAATGGCACTAAAGAGTTTCGCCCTTAGCAGGGGCACGATCCGCAGTCCGCAGTACGATTCTTTCACTATATACACCATGGAACCTGAACTCAGCCCTTCCAGATTCCTCCGAAATTATCGGGAAATTCTCAGAACCTGCAGGGGCCCGTTCCAGAACCTCAAGTTCCTGCCCGGGCCTGTGCAGAAATGTTGCACTGAATGGAGTGCTTTTGAACCCAAGAGAACAACCCCACTCTTGTATGTCCAGTAATATCGTTCCCTAGCAAAGAACAGATTGAGCGCTCTTCTAAGATTATACATATATATAATTTGTTGGGGCTCTCCACCACTTAGCATTACATCCCATCCAACTCGGTAGCCAGCAGTCTCACCTTGCCATCTTGACCTGCAGGACCTCATCTGCTTTGCGCTTCAACGCCAACCATTTTCTTCGTCCATGCGCTGGCCATGTGAGCAGGAAGATACAATGTTGCCACATAAACTTTCCTGAGATTGCAAAACAAGCAAGACTTACCATGTCGTGCTAGACATACTAGACTCTAGACACAAAAAGGTCGGGGTCGCCTCCACAACAAAACCCAACAGCTGGGATGGGCATGGATTTGCCTGTTAGTTCTTGGCAAGTTCACCAGCAAGCGGGGTCTGTGCCAAACAATAAACAATACAGTTTAAAAGACGTGGGTTTTTTCTGTCTTTTCTTTGCGCCATGCATCACTGCACGGCAACATGTCGACACAGCACATTTGCACACATATGCGCAAGCATGACAACACCACAACAAGCAGATCTGGAGCCCGCTCTGGAGCCTTGCAGGATGTGAGTCAACCTGTAGGATGTGAGTCAACCTGCGTCAGCGTCACAACGTGTCAGCATGACAGCCTCACATGATGTCGGCGTGACACCATGCCACCACAATATCAGCATGACAAAGGGCCAGCGTGTCTACATGTCAGCACATCATCATGACAGCATGCTTACCGGTTAGCAGTTCGCATGATAGAGTGACAACAACATGTTAGAATGTCGGCATGGCCGCGCACA